ACAGAAGATAGGAGAGACATATACACTGTAGTTTAGAAAAAGGGAGTATTTAATAAAGAACTAGGCTAGGCATTTAAAATGGCTCACTGAACCAAACAAGCCACTAGGCTGTGCTCCTTTATGATAAGACAAAAAACAAAACAAAACAAACACACACAGAAAAAAAAAAAACAAAAAAAAAAAAAGAACAACACACAACAACAACAACACAATTACAACTAAGAGAGGGAAAATCTCATTTTAATTGTACATAGACCATGGCACACCCGGCATGGTTTCTCAGAAAAGCTCCTTTTCTTTCCTGAAGGCCCTATGATGAGCAAGTGGACTCTGAGAGGATTCAGAGAACGTGAGCAGTTCCAACCCCCCTCTCCCCCACCCAGTGACCTCACCTAGCCTTCCCAGCAATGCCACGCAATGAAGAAGCTGAAGCCCAGTGATCAAAACAGCTAGAGGTTTTGCCATTCTAACAAATGCCAGATAAATCCTTTGGAAAAACAATTATGTGCCCCAAGTTCTCTCTTTGCTACCAACTCAGATTCAAAAGGTTAATGTTCCTTAAGGCAGAGGCCCTTTCCAGAGAACCATAGGCAAGCAACAGCAAACACTGGACCACCTTTCATGATGCATCTTCCAGTATGTTCTGTCCATGGCTTATTCTTGGGAAAAGAATTGTCCAAGTCTCTGCTATAGACCAGGCACTGCAGATATGAGAATGGATAAAAGAAGACCCAGCCTTCACAGATTCGACATCAGGTAATCCTCAGACCAAAATAGCGTTCAACTTTCACTTTAAGGAGGAGACTAGAAAAGATTTATGAAAAGCATAGGTATTTAGAAGTTTATTCCTTTAATGCATCACACTTTCTCCCTCATCCATTCCTCTCACTTATAAACACACACACACACACACACACACACACACACACACACACTATACATCCCAAATACCTAAAGATACACAGACAGGTATGCAACTATGAAACACTATACAAATACACAAACTACACATGTAGGAAACCCACGCATACCTGCATAAAGACATGCTGACATATTTTCAAGGACCGATCTATACTTATGAACACACCTATATTCATAACTTACCTATAAGAGAATGGCCATGATTATAGGAAAAAATACTCATGTTAAAACACTTTCTAAAGTGGGCTGTGATTCTCAACCTAGCTGCCCCTATAGTTACTCTCTCCATCACTTCCAGAAGGTCCTGGAGATTAAATAGTTGGTAGCTAACTTCATACATGCACCTGTAAACAAGAGGGCTCAGCTTTAAATAATTATGTCAGAGGAATGACAACTGTGCTCTTTGCCAGAACAGGGATGAATAATTACAAAGCCAGGACATAATTAAGCAATTCTGACTGTCGGATTCTTGAGCCATCTCTCTGACGTGCAGGGCGGGAGTGTCCGCCATGCATGCCCTCCTGGACAGGCCCCTGCACCACTTTGATCTGTGTTTCCCATGCGGCGAGGGGGTCATGGACTGATCATTACAGAAGCCTCTCTTTGCAGGGCTTAGCCTCCTCTGTGCCCAGCTTGGTGCTCTCTAAATGGACAATGGCATGATTCAATAGCCAACATTGGACAAAGATACATATTTTCTTTATAATTCTGGCAAATAAACAAAGCCTAGCTGTTGTAAGACCATTAACTAACAACACACACACACACTTGAGGGTCTAGAAGAGCCCATTGTAGCATTAGCTATCACTCCCTAATGAATGATAGCATCCTTCTGTAGAACAATCAGAGCTCAGATAGAAGGTGGCTTTTAAGCAACAAAAGCCAAAGGCAAGGGTTAAGAACTGTGTCAGCTGAGAGAGAGCTCGCACTCAAGTGCCTGGGCCTGCCAGGTACCAAATCAAACCTCCGGGACCTCGGGGCTTATTAGATCCTGGATGATTCTGCATTTGCATGAGCCAAGAGCCCATGCTGCCCGCTCCCTACCTCCATGGCACGGGCTGTGATTGGAGAGGCATGTTCCATCCTCTCAAATACGTTATGTCAGGAATAAAATGAAAACAGCTCCCCAAATCACGGCCCCTTGATCATCCATCAGAGCCTCCTGCTGAATAAGCACAACGGGCCGCCGCCTTGGAAAGGACAGGAGCCAACTTGAGAGCCTGACGCTGTTATGAAAAATAGGTCTTCACCCAGTGCGCTCAGCACAGCGTCGCAATTCACAGGGAGGAAATTGCTCTCCACTTAGGAGCCGAATCCAGGCGTACACATACCTCCCAGAACATACATATGTATATATACACAGAGATGGAAAGTGTATATACACACCTGCATAGGAACAAACACATGTCTGTATATACTGGGAGCAGGCGAGAACCAGCCTTTTTAACATTATTAATTCAGCAGGGAGATCATTTGGTCTCTCTCTAGCTGCAAGAAAGGTCCTAGTGAGCATCTCAGAAAACAGACAATAGGGAACTGCCTGCCATCAAGAGAGGCTTACAGTTTGATATCAGGCCAGGAAGCCAGAGAAATCCTCTGGTGCCCTTGAAGGATCATGGTGTAAACAGTACAGTTAGGTGGAAGCCCACATCCCTAGGTTCTGGTCCCACATCTGGGTTCTGGTCCCACATCTCAGAGTTCTAGTCCCATATTCCAGGGTTATAGTCTCATATTCCAGGGTTATAGTCTCATATTCCAGGGTTCTAGTTTAAAGTATGCCTCAGGGGTCTCTAGGGGTCTAAGGAAACTCCATCTTCTCCCTGTTCCTTTAACCATTAAATGAGATCTCAGACCAGGTGATTACTGAAGTTCAGTCCAGTTTGGAAATCACGTGACCACAAAAAAGGTAACCACCCAAGATCCTCACACTTTCACAGAGTGCTTCCACGTCTCCTCAAATCTGTACATACTGTAAAGCTTAATACTGTTAATAAAGATGTAAGAGTCAATTACAAACATGAGCTAATTCCATAATTGACTAGAAACTAATGTGAGGCTTTGAAGAGCATTTCTGCTTAAGTTGCTAATGACTCAGAGAACCAACTATTATGGATTTTAAGGAGCCAGTCCCATTTGCTTTCAAAGACTGGGGAGGGAGCCAGAGCTCCCCCTCCCCACCAACCCCTGCCCCTGCGGCCATCTGTACATCAACAGAACAGCCCTGCTTTCTCTCACTGTCTTCATCTAGGCCCTCTGATGAGGTTCTGTTTGAACCCAGAGGTGGATGAAAAAAGGTTTAGCTCCCTTCTCTGGGGGTAAGAAATCAGAGTGGAGAATGTGAGTTCCATGGTCAAATACATTGGGAAAGCCCCAGCAATTCTGAGTGGGCGATTCAGGCAGCCCCATTAAGGTCTCCAAGTTTGGGTTACGGAGCTGCAGAACAAGCCAGCACTCCCTTCTGTCTGTAGGCAAGGAACCCTAGAACAGTGGTGGACACACACAGAGAGTCCCCCACTCCAATACAGTATCCGGGACCCCTTCAGATTTCCAGTGGCAACAGAGATGCCCATGTCAATGACAATGACAGCGGAAGAAATTCTGACCTAGTTTATAAAGTACCTGTGCATGTGAAGGTGAGAAATGTAAGCAGGGCAAGAACCCAAGATATTATAGGCCGCTCATGTGTTGTTCTTTGTTGGTTTTGGTGATGCAGCTGTCCCTGGAATCTTTTAACAAAAACAAATAACAAAACAAAAAAGAGCCAAGAAATCATTTCATTTGGACAAAAATTACAAGAGCTGAAATAACTGAAGGCTGCCATGAGCACTATGTCAAATATACCTCGATAAGGAAAACCGTTAACACTTTAATAACTACAAAACGAATCGCTTAATTAATTTCCCACATGCTGAAACAGGATACATGTATCTGTCAGGATTACACTCTCTGCATTGCATATTTCCACAACTGCCAGCAATATACTCAGCACAATGGGAAATCAGTGGCACCTCACAGATTCAGGGAGAGCAAGTGGCCTGAGGTCTGCTGCCAGCTGAGCAACTTGATGGAAGAGGTTGCTCTTTTGGTTTTGGTCCCGTTTGACTTTTTCTCTTTCCCTCTCAGTCATTCCCAATAGTTTGGCAGAGCACTGCACGTCCATAAGTGAGCAAAAACTGGGCCTCTAGGCTTTCTGGGACAGTGTTTTCAACACGCATGCGAGATCCCACAGGAAATGGTGATGTCACTCCACAGAGCCCCAGGGCAGGGATGGATCTCCATTGGGGTCACCAAGTATCATCATGTCCATGCCCCAGCCTCAGGTCTCATGGAAGGGCCCCAATTCCTCCTAATAAGGCAGTTGTCCATGTCCCTAAAAATCCCCTTGGGTCTGAAAACCAAGCCCTTCTGCCTCATCAATGTTGTCACTAAGATGATTCATGGTCACTTCCACAGCATCAGGGCAGACTCAGCCTGACAGGTCAGTGAGCATCATTCCCATGAATCCCAGAGAGCTGAACCCCAGAGAGCTGCATAGAGGGTCACACACCAGTCCCAGGTCCCATTGTCAGAAAAACGCACCTTCTCTCTACTGAGATCTTTGAGAGCTGTTGGGTTCTCAGCTGTGGAACCAAGAAAATATCTCCCTTGTGTCTCTCCTTTGGTCCCAGGAAAGAAGGGTCCCCTGTGAGGTGCCAGAGGAATCCCAGCCACGTGAGAAAGAGCACATGCTCAGTGCTTTCCCCTTTATCACCTCTAGACTTATGGAGGTGCCATCTTATAAATGAACCATCTTAAGGAAGAGGTCTGAAATCCCACCTACTTCTGGAACATCACCATTGGCTGTGCAATGTGCTGCTTTGGTAAACAAGCGATCCAGGTGAAATTACCCTACAAATGAGGTCCTCTTAGACTGGGAAGACCCAGTGTGTATCCAGTCCTACTTCTTGTTTGGCTAACAGTGTACCCATGGACAAGCTCTCCTGCATTATGAATACATGGAAGCATGCTCTCCATGTTCCAAGAGTACCTGTGATGTGAGACACAAATCCCTTGAGAAGTCCATAGATTAGGCAGCTTACCTTGGGCTTCACCACCTTCATGAACGCCCCTCTGACCAAAGCTTCCTCTCGTTCTTCTCTGGTTACTTTCCTGGCATCCAAGAACTTTAAATTGGGCAGCTTGTGCAGAACAAAGCATCTGGAAGAGAACAGGCAGGGACAGCTCAGGAGGGTGGGTGACCACCTAAAAGTTCCACGATATGTGTCTGGTATTTGGCAATTTAGTTCCATTGATGCCCTCACCTAAACTGCAAGCTTCCTAAGGCAGGAACAAAGTTATTTTTGCTCACCCTCAGGCCATCTTGCAAAGTAGCATCAGAATTAATTCAATAAAATACAAGTTCATGTCTCTTGCACAAATATTTCTTGAGCACCTACTATGTGCCAGGCCCTAGATAAACAAAGGTGATTATAACATGGTCCTTGCTCTTAGAGGGGTTTTAAGTGTCATCGGGATGATAGAACCACACAGAGAAATTAGAAGCAGCATAGCTAAGTACCAAGACTGAAGTTATGCAGTAGTTTTGGAAGCACAGAGAAAGGGGGTAATAATTAAAAACTAATAGCTGAAGGAGGATAATTAGGTTTCAAAGAAACAAACCCTAAAGCAACCCCAAGCATTACCTTCTCAGTGCAAATGTGATTTGGGGTAAGTAGGGTACCTCCCTTTTCAGGGGAGTCCTGGGTTCCCAGGCCAGGCCCCAATCTGACATCACATGTGACCTCTAATGTTTGTCCAGGATTAAGATAGCTGATCACTCAAACACCAGAGACAACAACTTGGAGATCTCTAGTGATAGCCTCCATGTTAGTCATTTAAAGTCAAAACATCCTAAAATTCTCTGGAGGTATACTTTTCATCGCCAGAAGTCTATACTCCAACACCTGAGGTCCTGGAAATTTGACTATCTACTTCCTGCTTCCTCTCTCACCTCAATCTATTACCGTATTTTCCGGCGTATAAGATGATCCCCTAATTTTTACAGTTAAAACATAGGTTTAGGCCTATATTCGCTGTATAAGACTCTCCCCGCAACTTCCGAGGCAACACCAGTTCTTTTTTTAATAGACCACCTCTCTGACTGGCCAATCTGAGCAGGCTTTTTAATAGAACACAGTGTACATGTTCTGTACCCGAAGCTACACTGTGTTCTAGTAAAAAGCCTGCTCAGATTGGCCAGAGTCAGAGAGGCGGTCTATTAAAAAAAAAGAACTGGTATTGCCTCGGAAGTGGGGGCTAGTCTTATACAGCGAATATAGGCCTAAACCTATGTTTTAACTGTAAAATTAGGGGTCGTCTTATACGCTGGAAAATACGGTACCTTTTTTTCTACTTCTCCCTGAGCTTCTCCTTTCCCTCTCTAAATGCCCTTAACTTATCTGAAACCAGAATATTTCCACAAAGAGCCCAGGTGACCTTTCTCTCCTCCAGTAGAACTCCTGCTGGCCTCAGTCAGTGTCAGAGAGAATTCTGTCTTCTACTGGTAAGGCAAAGTCTGGATGACAATAGATTCTTTCAAGTGAAGACACGTACAGATGGAAACAATATGTCAGGTGTGACGCTGGAAGGAGGAAAGACACCCACTAAGTGTAGGGTGGGAAAATATGAATATTCAGGTGAAGAAAACATCAGCATTATAAAACCAGCCAGTGTTCAATGATAGAGTGAAAGATGTCTTCACAGGGCTGCCAGGAACCATGGTGACAACAGACAGCACGTTGTCATTTTACCCCACTTTGGATCCCAGCCCTCAAATCAGAGGGGAAAAGAGAGCCAGAGAGCCAGGGAAGGAGGGAGGGATGGAGGAAGGGAGAGAGAGAGAGAGAGAGAGAGAGAGAGAGAGAGAGAGAGAGAGAGAGAGAGAGAGAGAGAGAGAGAGAGAGAGGTGGCTTTCAAGCCAGTTAAAATTGTAGGTGACAAAGAGCTGCTGTTCTCAGAGCACTCTTCTGATACAATCAAAGAAACAGCCATAAAATAGGCTGCCTGTCACCCTGATATAGGGCTGATATGACTTCTATCCTGATGGCTGGCCTGGGGTGTCCAGGTGGTTACTGCTTAGAAAGATTGAGGGACGCTAGGAAAGGCTGCCCCAAATACTGTGTCTGAGACTCAGCCCAGGGTCCAAACTCTCTCCTTTAGGGATGTTGTATTTTACTTACTTACTCATACATCGATCTACCCAACAAATAATTAGTAGGCAGCTACCACTTATACTAGGTGCTGAGCATAGGTGATGCACAAATGAGACAAGGCCCCTGCTCTTAAGGAGCTTCTCTCCTCATATAGTGGACCACGAGCTGAATGAAAGACAGTCGGGAGCCCCACCCCTGGAGTGTCTGCTTCACTAAGTCTGGAGAAGGGCCTGGAATTTCCATTTCTAATAAATTCCCAGGTGAGGCTGATGCTGCGTCCTGCTGAGAACCACTGTCCAAATAACAAATCACAGCATGAAAAATAACAGTTCTGGAATGGTGAGGTGGTAAGGTAGCAAAGAGTCTCCTTCCCAATCCTGTGAGGTGTCTGCCCTGCCCTGTGACTGCGGTGGACAGAACACGGACAGTGGCCACATCCACCAGAAATCACTGCCCGTTGGTGGTTTGCACCGGGCTCCAAACATGACTGCCAAGTGATAAGTCAGTGGGCTTTCTGCCTGCCTGTCCCATCCCAGTCTCAGGAGATCTATTTCCCTTTGTTCTAGGTCATGTCAGGATGTCAAAAGCTGCAGCTTCAATCCTGAGTATTATACAAGCTTGCCATAAAAATACAAGAGAGGCTTCCCGAAGCCACAGAAGGAAGGCTTTTACAATATCAATTCCACCCTTGTAAATTTAATCCCGGGTTATTTGTTGCACCAAAATCTCTTTACCGTGATGTATGACTTAGTTACTGAGGTTATCACAGCCGTATCCTAAAGTTGCATAGTACATAAAACATTTCAGTTAACAATGCGGGAAGGTTAACTCCCTCAGATAACCTGCAATCACAAGGGCCAGTCCATGTGACGTGGCTCTGTCAGCTTCCACGAGCTATTGATGGTTCAATCGGTTTGTTTTGAAGGTAAAGTACAACAAAAGGGCAGTAAACTTATTCGGACTGTCAACAGGGGCTATGGGGAATGGGGCTTGCAGGTAAGTAATTCTGGGTGTTTTAAGGCTATTATCCAACAGCAATGGTTGAAGGAAGAGACAGCTACTAATAACACAGAAGGCAGCCATCATAAACCACTTTATGGCAGAAACCCCCGTCGATAAATCCCGCGACACCCGGAGACAGCTCCAGATTTATAAAACTGCTTGTTAAGCCAGGACACTGCTTAATGAAAAGAGATCTATCTAAGTTCTGAATCTCCCGTCCCGAGCTCCAGAGGCCAACTCCAATTTCCCTGACCTTCCCAAGGTGGCTGGGCAACACCCCAGGGCCAGGGGATGGGAGTCAGGCACACTTGGCTGTGACATGGAAGGTGAGGGCATGGGGAGCAGATCAGGGATCCTGGGAAGGATGGTGTTCAAACCTACCGTATTTTCCTGCGTATAAGACGACCTTTGAAACGAAAAAATGTCAACCGAAAATCGGGGGCAAAAGACCAAAATTGCACAAAATTACCTGACGGAAAAGTAAGTCTTTTCTTTGAAGTGGGGGATAGTCTTATACAGCAAATATAGGCCTAAACCTATGTTTTAACTATAAAAATTAGGGGGTTGTCTTATACGCCGGAAAATACAGGTATATATTTCTGTCTGCAGACAGACCCTCTCAATGCGAGACCCACACAGAGTTCTCAGATGGTCTCTCTTTCCATAGAGAATGTCCCATTTTCTTAAAAGACTCCTCTAAGGAGACTCCCCAAACTGGAATGGGGCCAAAAGGAATAGCAGAAAGGCTTCTTTGTTTGTTTTTCTCTGCCCAAATGCCAAAGCTTTGGCATTTTCCATATAGACTTTAAAGCAAGAGAAGGATGCTCTTCTCTCCTGCTCAGAACTGCTACCCATGACACCACGCAACCACAGACCTGTGCTGCCTGCTCCTGGGCTGGCTGCGTGTTCCTTTCTCTGAGGAAGACTCTACTCAAGACACACCAAGTTTCTAGATTCTGAGGAACCTGGATGGGGAACCACTAGAGTTTTTTTCCACCTTTCTTCCATTTATGGCATTCTATGCTTCTTCCTACTAGTTCTTGCTGCCTGCTTGCTCCCATGTATGGGTGGGGGAGAGATGGTGCAACCTACTGATGCCCTCCTGGGGCCCTGAAGACAGTCACAGGTGACCCATGCACCGTTTTCAACCTTTCACAAGCTTTAAAAAATAGAGTGAGCACACCAACAAAATATCAAGCATCTTTGCTCTTAACTGGATTGCATCAACCCTGACTAGTAATCCTGCTTACCTGATGCTGACTCAAAGCACGGATCAGCTGCTAAATATGTCTGACTAATTTTTAAATGTTAGTGGTGGCTTAAATGCAGTTTATTTAAGAGTTAAAACTTTTTTTTTTTTTAGGAGGCAAAGCTTTAAAGTACAGGAAAGAAAGTTAAAAAAGAGGGAGATCTTCATAACAAAAAGCTCAAGAACTAAGGTCAAAGGAAAAGCCCAGACTCTGGGATTATCTTGCTGTGCAATCTTGGTTCAGTCTCTATCACCTTCCTGAGCCTGTTTCTCCATCTGTGCAATAAAGGGAATGGGCTAAATGATGCCTAAGCCTCTTTTAAGCTTTACTTTGCTTGACTTCTATGTGCCTCAAAGTTAATTTACAATAAATGCATCCATATTCTCCATTCTTATTCCTCCCATTCCCTTATATAACTGCCTCCTCACACCTCCAGGTAAAAGAAGACTGTAAGATAAAGTCAATAAAGAACAAAGCGTAATGAATAAACACTGTGTGGAGTAATGCCAGATGCTCAGAGAGATGACAATGATCTCACTCTAATGAGCTGAGGTGAGCTCACCTACAGCAGTAATGAATGCCTGACAACGGCAAAGGGCAGCTGATTTGGGCAGCATGTTTGAAGTCGCCGTGCACACAATACACCCACAGGACACACCACGGCCTTCTACAGAGGGTAGCCAGCAATTATTCTGTGGGCTTCTGTCACTTTGATCTCTGGGTCGTGACCTCTGCTTTCTTGTGATCTTCAAAGCCCAGACTGTAGATTAGCCGAAGCATGCGAGCTGGGCTGTGTAAGCCACAAGTTTTACAGCTCCTGCTCAGCGGGGAGATGGTGGTAGCCCAGGATGGGCCACAGACTGCACAGGGTCCCTCCCTCCCTCCTGCCCTTTGGCGGAGTGCTGAAGACACTGGGCAGGCCCCTGGGCTGCTCCCTTGGAGAGAACAAAGAAAGGGTGTCATGTTTTAAATAATTCAATGTTGTCAGGAACACAGAGGGACCTACTGGGGAGGAACGAGGAAGGAGAGGCTGACTTGCAGTGACAGAAGGGGGTGAACGACAAAGACTTTAATGACAGAAGTAGAGCTGAGCCCATGAGCCCACCTCCTTTACTTGACATTAGAAGTTAGCCCTTGTGCACTGTTGACTTCCAGGCTACTTTATTTCCTGCAGTGAGAAGAAAGACAGGAATTGCAAAGGAAGACAAGAAATAGAACACGCTGGGCACCCAGGTTTGCATCCTGGATCCATTTTTGGGCCAGTGTTGAAGTCCACAGGAGGGCCAAAGTGGTTTCTTAGTACGATGGTGGTCTTCCGAGCCAAACTCTGCCTCACCCACCGTCTTCCTGCTCAAACCCCAAAGGCTGCTGGTTATCACATTCACCTCCATTCAACATTCATCCCAAAATAGCACAGTGTGTACACACAGCAAAGCATGGGCAGGTTTGGGCTCCTGTAATAACATGGCCACGGACAGTTCCCGGCCATGATCTATGATGAATGGCAAAGAGAAACTCCAGGCACGGTTTTGCTCCTGCCCCAGCAGGACCAGGGCACTGATGAACAACTTGGTAATATGTTCATGCTCACATTCAGGTTTAATGAGCCCATTTTACTGCGGGGATGTGTGCCAAGAAAATCTAAACCCCGGTGCACAGGGGGTAAATGAGGAAGGAAAGGGGAGGTGAGGGGAGAAGGGAAAAAACAATCTGCAGACACCAAAGCATCTATGAAGCCATTTCCAAAAAACTCTGTGACTCTATTCACTTCCCATTTCTGGTCCAGTGGTTAGCCACTACATGACCTAAAACCCAGCAGACCTCTCAGAAATCAACATATCCCATGGAAATGAAACAACAGACATACCTGTTTTGATGTATGGCTGGGTGACATATTATAAATATTACATCACATACCCACAGAGGATGCCAATCAATAAGACATTCTTTTAGACAGCACTAAATGAGCCATGGGTTCTTGCTTCTGAATACACTCCTTTAAGGCTCCTACTATTGCTTAAATGATTAATAGAGGACATATTGTCAGAAAACGTACTTAAAGTGAAAAACAGTAAACCATAGAAATATCATTCATTTTTAAGCAATTTTCTAGTGAAAATGTCACATAAATTTACATAGAGGCCCTAGGATTAGGCTCCAGTAAGAGCTAGAAGGCAGGCAGACATCATGCTTTGTGAATGAAGGGCCAGGAAGATAGTTTACCAAGAGACTATAAAAAAGTGGCTACATTGCTTGGTAGAAACCCAAATGCCACAGGAACTCTGGGTTCAAAAGACTTATTGTGAAACCCTAAAACTTCTCAGGGTTAAATGAAGCACAGACTCCAGGGTGAACAAAGTGGGGCTGTTATGGACCACAGAGCAGAAGTGGGTCATACACACATTCATCTCCAAATGCAAGTGTAAGAATGCTTGTCAAATTAGAGATAAAAAGTCAGATGAATGACAAATTTAGAATTATTGCAGAATGGGCCTACTCCCATGCAACAGCCGGAGGCCATGCAGTGAATGTGGACCTGGATGGACACACGTGTTCCCACCACTGCTCCTGATTCCTGTCTCTCTCAGAGTGTGAGCACCTTGCCATCCTTGTAAGGTTACTTCTAAATTTTCTAACATAAATTTAACTAGATGTGGTTTTCACAGTGTTCAGCCTCTAGAACCCCGCTACTCATGGCAACTTTGCCATATGTGCAACTAACAAACAGCCTTTCCAACCACACCCTTCTATACCACCCAGGAACAGTCGTGGAGTGGGGAGGACAGGCTTGAGAGTGTTCATCCTAGCCCATGACATGGATCACTCCTCTCAAATCAAGTCCTCCCTAAGGAATCAGGCCCCACAACTAGCACATGGATTGAGTCTGAAGGATGGTCTCTTGTTTAGTAACTGCATTTGTTGACATCCAATGGATCTTTTTCCAATTTGCAGTGGGCATCTGAGGAGCTAAAGGGCCCTGCATCTGTTGATAAGTACTCAGCTCATGAGAGGAAGGGCAATTTCAAGCTAGCTCCAGCAAAATTACCAAGTCCCTATTCCATGGCATGCTTTAGGTATTCTTATCTACATTAGGTATTATTGAAGCATTAAAGGGTCAAGAAGATGCAATCTTAAGCTACTGGAAGCCATTCTCTGAATGGTGAAATATATGAAGTAGTGAGAGAAATATAGAAGATCAAATGCATAATAAAGTATGAGATGGGAAAGAAAGAACTGTAACTGTTTGGGAGCGGAGTACCTAAGAGTGCTAGAGTCCACAGGAATTTTAAATATGACTTAGTTCAACAGTTTTTCACTGAGCATCAGAATCGCCTATTGACTATTTTGTTGAATTTGCCACTAAATAAGTCAAAATGCCTTAGATGATTCAGAAAAATCACTTTGGTTAAGGGTCCCTGATCTAGACTGGCCTCTCCATTTAAAAAGTCCCACTGGCAAACTGGACTCCATATCAGGTCATCTGATTTGACCCCTTACATGTTAGGTTTTAGTATTTTTGCCAATGTGACCAGTCATAATAACAACAAAAATAGAATTAGCTTTTCTTATTCTTTTATAACCTCATAAAACCCTCTTTCTATTTGAGACTGAATAAAATAAGGTGGGGTTAGAAACTGTTCTCTATTTTTCTCATTCTAGAAAAGAAAAGTTGCCTATAGTTTGATCCACCTGTATATCCATTAATGAATAAATGAACATGTGTGAATGTGTGTGCACATGCATACACATATATAAAATTTATTTAGCTATTAAAAAAAAAAAAACACAGAAAGAAGAAAAAAAAAGAAGACAGAAAAGCAACTGAGAATTTCCAAAATAAGGCTTGGTTTATTAAACATAGGCACTTGATTGACAGCACTTTCTTGGACTTGCTCAACCTTTCAAAGACATATAAATAAGTTGCCTCAAGAAGATAAAATATGTTTTGAGCCACCCCTCCATGCCTGAAATCAGGCTGTTAAATGCTTCAGAGTTGATAAGAATGTCGAAGAAGCAAATTAAGTTCTAAGCTACTATGTAACTTCAAGGGTTGATTTAGAAATGTGTAACTATTTACCTGCTGGACATTAAACATATTTCTCCTAAAAGAAGTCAAATTCAAATTGACAGTATCATATCTCAAATAAAAATCTTCATGATGGAGAAAGATTTAATACATTTTTTAAAAGTAGCTTTATGCTAAGATAGTTTAAAAGCAAGCAGCTAAGACTGCCACAGAATTAATCAAGTTCGCTAGAAAATGAAGTAAAAGGTATAAAATTCTTCCCAATGAAGAAATGTAACTGAAATCCTACTTTAGCTTTACTTTGTGTGTGTTTTAACTATATTACATTCAACAGCCTTCAGTATTTCTTACAGTGTGCTTATACAAATGAATGCCCCCAGCTATGTTCTTTCATGGGTCACCACAGATTTTTATATGAATCTTAATAGAAAAAATTTCTCTCAAATTATTATCCTCTTTCCTCAATTCTTCACATTTATTTTCCAGTAGCCTTATATGTTTTGCATTTCCATCCTTCCTCCCTCTCTCCTTCCCACGTTGTTTTGAGTAGGGTTTTAATGAGAGCATATATCATAATGGAGAGAGTTGCAACACATCAGAGATGATCATTAAAAATATTTACCAAACAATAGTAAAGAATGAGAGCATACAGAATTCAAAATGAAGAAGGAAAACAAAATGAGTTTATGAAATCAGTAAGATGGAGAAGGCTCCCTAACAGAGATGAGTTTGGATTGGTGTTTTAAAGCAGATGGTTTAGAAGTAGAGACAATAAAGAAAAGCATTTCTACTTGGAATCCATCAAAGCACGTGGTCAATGAGCACTTGGGCATAGTTTTATGGAACAAAGTTATGGGCCTTATGGGACTTCCTCTTGGGATTTTTATATAAGCTCCCTAAACTTCAGTGGGAAGTGCTTTTTCTCCAAAAAGTGACTCTAAAGCAGACCACAGGAAGACTTTACAAGACAGCATAGGTCAGCAAACTAGAGACAAATCTGGCCTGCTTTCTATTATATTTTTGTGATGTTTTTTTTTTTAAATAAAATTTTGTTTGAACACAGCAATGCCTGCTCATTTACAAATGTCTACTTTACATTATAACAGCCAAGTTGAATAGTTGCAACAGAAACCATATGACCTTCAGCCTTTTACAAAAAACTTGTCAATCCCTGACCTAGACCACTCAACAGCATTCCATGCTTCTTGGCTCCTCTGACTTCAACAAATGGAGACAATGGCTATAGCTTACACAAAGTTAAAAGTTTAATATTATCACATGGAATCCACTGATATTTACCAAACATCTGCTATGCACACATAGTATATTATCCCCCCCCCCCAAAAGATGCTTTTTCCTTCTTTCACCATGCTCAAACACCTAAATACTCACCTGTATCTCTTATAGTCTTCTTCGTCCTTTTCCAAGCTGACCAGTTCGTTGGGACATGCCACATTACCCAGCAGGCTGAGGTATTCCAGAGCCGGTGTCACTTCTGCCAGGTGATCAAGCAGATGCTCCAAATCAGTGATGTGACAAAGGTTAAGGATCTCGGTCCAGGAAGACAAAAGGTTTAACAAGAACAACAGAGCATGGCTTACAGGGAAAGACTAGCCACTGTGAGTCCAGACTGCTCCCACAATATGGCATGTGTGAGGGTTGAAATCAGCTTGGCCATGGGTGTCTGGAACAGCTAGTCTTTCACTGCTACTATTGGATACAGGAACCAGCTTTTCTCTGGGCAGGTAAGACTTGAGATCACTTGAGAGAAAATTAATGCACGTTTTACCACACTTTCCTTTCCTCTATAGTTCTGTGTTTTGTTTTTAAGTTAAAATGGTAAAGTGTAGGTTCCATGTAGTAAAAATATTTTACAATATGCAAACCCATAAAACATATTTTTTTCTAGTAGTGAAAGCAAGGCATTATTTTCAAAGACCTCATTAAAAATATCAATTCTCCTACAATGGGTAATGTATTGATAAAATATACAGGAATGACATAAACACAAACAGGGATTGGCTATCCAATCATGATCTGAGAGCTTGTGGTAGAGCAAAGCATTGCTCATTGGCCTCATTGGTGGGGGGGAAAATCATAGTATTGAGGAAAAAGGAGAACAAAGCTAGGAGAAGACAAGCTGAGAACAGTAGGACAACTTTAGTCAAGTCAGACAGGTCAGAATGCATTTCCTGAGACCCTTTGTGAATCGAATATTCTATGAAGGAAAAAAATGGAAGAGAAAAGACCAAGGAGGGACATGGTGGTAAAATTATTACATGATCCATCACCACAGTGGGCTCACTATCGAGTCAAGGCAAACTCTGACACCACAAACCATATAAGGAAAGAGTCACAGATGCAGGATATCACATGGATTGGGAAGGACTAATTCACACATCAACTCATCAATTGAGCTGATGAGACGAGTCCTAAGCAAGGTGGTGATCTGACAGGCCAGGACAGAAGCCATGAATACCAAGAGCCCATAGGAATTATCTAATGTCAGGAGAGAAACTGGGGAAAGCCCTTACTATGGACAGAAAAGTCTAACCAAAACCTAGTTCCCTCTTAGGGGCAAATTGAGAGTTTGTGGTGGAGCTAAGCATTGCTCAATGGCCTCACTGGTGGGGGAAAAATCATGGCATTTGGGGAAAAGGAGAACCTTATATCTTCATCTATTTTTTTTTTTTTAATCTACAGTATGAAGGTGGGAATGTGAAGGCATAGAACTCAAAACTGGCAAGATTTTCAAGTAGAGAATACACTGGGCAACTGAGTTGGATTAAGATCCCAGGCATTTTTCAATATTTAGTGACAACGGATGGGAAACCCAGCGGCCACCATCCAGGGAGGCCCAGTTTAATCTAAGTAAATCTTCACGTGTAAATTTCCCACAGAACTAATAAAACTTGGATGTGAGGGCTCCTTGCTTGCACAGGGCTCCTAGTAATAGAGCCGTATGGTCATGTGTTTTGTGAAATTTGCAAAAGTAGGCTATTTAAATACCAATTGGTTAAGATCACTGTTTTTCTTCACTAGGATGTCATCCACTACATGTCACTTTGAGTTGGGTGACATTGGAGTGCCTGTGGAAATTCTGGGGACCTGGCTAAGAGGGGCTTGGGAAGAACTGGCATTTAATTAGGACTCAGTGAGATATATTTGTGTGGTTTGCATCATATCTGTGACTGGTTATTACAATAGTATCAGTAGGAACAGCTTCCAGTAATATTCATGCTGACACAACATGTAGGGACCAACATAATACAGATGATACAATGATTAACGAGTTTATCAGGTCAAAGAACATTTAAGATTAAGTTATTGATTGTATACACACATAACTTTAAATGTCCCACAATATAACAGCTCATATAGGAAGAAAATATATAAGAGTTTTTTCAATATTTAAAAACTCTAATTATTTTTGCCAATAATTTAGTGGTGAAATTACCAATAAGGAGTGATAGATCTGAAAGAAACCACCCTAAACTACAAAAAATACAACGTAATTTTCAATTCGATAGGATTATCTATTTTCTCTATATAAAATATTATAAAATTATATAACAAAGTTATAAGGGAATTTTTAGGAAAAAAGTTTTTATACAGACATGTGTAGTATAAAAAGATTCACTTTCCTAAATATTTTAGTGTGTGGTATTTTTCAACTTAAATTTTATTTTCTTTTGATATATTTTCTATTCTAAATAACACTTATCTTCATAACTAATTTTGCATTCACACTCAAGTAGTTTTTCCTTTAAGAGGGCTTCCTCAAATTATGTAAGTTTTACACTTCATAAAATCTGGGTCAGCCAATGAGCAGGGGGTTGTGGAAATGTGGACTCATTCAAATCTGGATCATTTCTTGAGCCTATAAATCTAAGGAATTCTAGATTTCCCTAGCCTTTGAGCCTGCTCCATTTAGGATACTGTGTGTGACAGAAGCTTCTCCATCTTACTAAGCCTTTCAACTACCCACTAACTGATCAACTGGGGTTAGCCAGGTGGTCTTCACTAAATCCACAGCAGGCAGGAATCGCCAGCACCTACTTCAGGACTCTGTGGACCAGAACTTCATCATTACATTGATACCACTGGAGGATGAAACAGGAGGGAGAGATTTAATTGGCTCCTTGGTCAGCACAGCCTTGTCTTGCCTGATTGCAGGCTCTGAGAGAGAATGTTTCACACTCCTGTTTATAAAATTGTATAGAAAGTTAACCAGAGTCAATGAGAGGAGGGAACTGGGGTCTGGGGCTAATCAAGACCACCACAGTGGATACTCTTTCAGCAATTCTCCTAAGGCTTTCTTTTTTGTTTTTAATTTTTAAAAATGTGACACTATCTGGCACAGTTTCATTTCTCTCCAGTTGGATTCTTAGCCCACACCTGGTTTCCTTCATGGAGGCTTCTCTAGAGAACTTGCTGCTTTGAATTTTTTCAATGTTGTCTACAGAAAGTTTCCACTGCGGAGCCCAGCTGTCATGGCTGGACTTGCCAAGGGAGATTTTCTGCTGGGGTCCAAGATCAAAGCAACATCTTGCCTGGAAAGTTTGGAGGGAAGAGGGGTGCCTCCGGGGTCAGGGGCCAGTTGCACAGGTCCAAAGTTGTTTCCCAGGTGAGAGTATGGGGACATACCTTCCCTCTGTGCTCGGCTTCAAAGGGCAAAGGGCAGCATCTATAACCCCTGGGAGGATTTCAACCAAAGCTCATCCTACTATAGGGTTTTTGAGTGGTAAACAGTGTACATGGCAGAGTACCTCATTTTGATTTGCACAAAGATCAAAAATATTATCCCATGCATGTAACAATGAAGGAAACTGGAGTCAAAGGTCACACTATCAGTAAGAGGCACAGTTTATATACTTAAACCTAAAACTGAAGAAATGGCATTTATAGGGACACATGACTCATCATTTTCTAGCACAAAAAGGAAATTTTAAATACTGAAACATGAATATTCTTAGTCCTGCTTTCTATCTCAGCACATCCTACTTGTATTACACGTCTTCCTTGTTGGCATTATAGCTCATGCTGTCTCTCCATACATGTGCTGAGGTACACAGGCAGAAAGAAAATGAAGAAATGAATTGTGATTTAAAATGAAGTCCCTTATCACCCCTAAAGGAAAAGTGGGTGAAAGGTTAAATATCCATATTTAACAACTGATATCTCAGTTGTTCTCTTATTTGGGGCTGAGTATTCAGACATGATATGGCCAACTGCCCATCCCTACAGGGAACAGCCAGGGATGGTGTGTGTGTGTGTGTGTGTGTGAGAGAGAGAGAGAGAGAGAGAGAGAGAGAGAGAGAGAGAGAGAGAGAGAGAGAGAGAGAGAGAGAGAGAGAAAGAGAGATTAAGAGAGAGAGAGTGTGTGTGTCAAGACCATGACCAGGCACTATTGGCCAGTGCAAATGAACCTAAAGAAGAAGAGTGAGATAAGCTATGAACCAAGAGTTGAAGAGGTAACCTGGGAAGAACAGGCTTTAGGGATGCCAGGACAGGGCTCCAAAGCTGACAGCTGAATGGAACCCTCAGGAACAAGGACTGGGAGAACAAATATATGAGGTCCAGCAGGAGGTAGCAGCCAGGAAGTGGGGCAGTGGTGAACTGGGAAGAAATTTCCAGATGCTGGGTTTGGGGTCTGGAATTCCTTTCATAAACTCCCACTGCAGCTGGGAGCAGGGCCTCGTGGAGCCAGTGACAGGCAGCTGACTCTTCCTGCAACTTAGTTCCTCTTCTTATGCAGTGATTGCCCCTCCACCTTGCGTCCCAGAGTATGGGCTGAGAATTAACACATCTAAACAGAGCCCACCACAGACAATCTATGTGATTTCAAAAAGTTCATACTGTCCCCCATTTTTTCATAAAAATGAGAATTATCCCTATTGGTACCCGACTCACAGAATGATCTGAGGGCAGTATTAAAGTATAGTATAGAAGTCAAAGAAGCACTCTAAATCTATACTCTGATGTTGGTTATACTGTGGCCCAAATAACTAGGGAAGGTACACATAATTCTCTAGGGTAATAATAAAAGTTATAATACTAATCCTTATGTAGAATTCAGGGTGTTACTATAACTTAGCATTAGTGAGATTCTTCCATAGCCCTTACAATAACCTATGGGGTGGGTACTATTATTGTCCCCATCTTAAGCCAAAGCATAGAGATATTAAGTAACTTGTCCAAGTCATGCAGTAAGTGGTAGACCTGGGTACAGGCCCAGGAAGTCTGGCTTCAGAGCCTGTTGTTCTTAAGTACTATTTGGCAGTGGCACTTGGTAAAAGATAAAAGAAACCCATAACCCAAATTCCCAGGGTCCAGTAACACACTCATTGTATAAACAGATTTAATTGTGAGTAAAACCAAATGGAAAACTCTAGACTTACAAGGCAGATAAAATAAGTGGTGGTAGGGGTCAATAACCATTCTATCTATAGATGCCAAAAAGCAGAAAATTAAAAAATAAAACAAACAGCACAGAAGAACTTGAGGTAGAACCCCATTTGACAGCAAGCTTCCTAATATGGTTAAAATAAGATTCAATTTATAAGAAAGAGTGAATACTTAGAAGGTCAATAGTTCTTTGAGTTCCTTGGTTCTTAGGTCTCTCTTTATTGGAAATACGAAGCGAAAACTTGAGACAGAATATCAAGGTCTCTGTGTTAGAATAATGAAATGAGCCATGCCTCTGTGTATTCACACCTGGCATAGTTCCCTCTCACAGTGGTTCTACGTTTGGTAAGTAACTAGATTTGGCCATAGGACAGCAACACATATGATACGAGCTGGGATTTAAAAGTGCTTGTACATCGGAACTTTGCTCTTGGAACCTCCCTATGTGGAGAGGCCTGTGCTAGATTGTGTGTGACATGTTCAGCCCATTGCCAGCACCAGTTCTAGTTCCAGGCCTCTGAACAAGGCCATCTCAGACCATCCGGCTCCAGCTGAGTTTGCAGATAACTGTGGCTGGCTGCCTGGGTGGCCCCAAAGCAAGACTGGCAGAACTGTCATCCAAGCTCTGCCCACATAGCTCACCCATAGCCTTGTAAACCAGTGAAATGTTTGGTTTTTAAAGCAACTCACTGTTGGAGATTATGATGCAGCAAAGCTAACTGATAGAGCCCAAATCTAAGAAACTTCACAGAGTAGGAATAACAATATGGAATTGTGTAATGGTTGGAGAGCCTGAGGCACTGTTACAAGTAGATAGGAAAATCAATCAGCCAAAAAGGTGGACTCAAAATTGTTAGGTTAAAAGGATTACATATATTGTTATTGGTGCTTTTACCTGCTTTTCATTCTATGAATTTGGGGTCAAATATAAAGGGAAATTAAGCTAATTCTCCTGATCATACTGACAGCCTGGAGAGAAAGAAGAGCCATGGTGTATCCTGGGAGAGCCAACCACAATCTCTTGTTTCTACTGATAACAAAGCACATACAGCAACACAGCAACAGGACTGATCAGCTTGGCACCTTCACAATGCCTTCTGCTTCAGTCCCTCCCAGGCCATACCATTACCTCCTGGGCATTACTGCTATACATGGAGAAGATGAGGCATGGAGCTGGAAAAGAACTCAACCAGAGACAAAGAAAATCCGAATTATAGAGCCAAGAGGCCTGCTACTCTGGTAACTGCTGCTCTGAGGATGAAACCATGATCCAATTCAACTTATTCCTATAAAAATGATTAGCAGAGGCTCTTAGAGGCCACATAGCTAAGCATGATCAAGGTGACTCATGAACACACATTCATGAAGTCTAATACTCGACAGTGATGCGAGGGAGGAAGTGTATCATCCAATCTAGCCTAATATTCCTTCCGTTCTTGATCAATTTGAGAATATTGTCCCACTGATCACCCAGCACAGCCAAGGAAGCCATAAGACACACTGACTATAACACTTTTTCAAACAGTGACTAGGAAACTTAGTTGACCAGAGGATAGGAAATGGAAAAAATCTATCAACATTTCATATGATGAAAGAGGGTCTATACTTCACCTCTTTCCCCATCTGGACAAAGGAGTAACTATACCCTACTTACAAGGCTGGATAAGAATGAAAAATACAGTGTGAGGCAAAAGGAGGTTTACAGCTGTTTGAATGGAAAATGATAGAAGAAACTGTGTTTCACCTACTCACAACTGTAAACTTATGTTTGTCCCACCCTGTAATATATTTAAAGCTACTGAGCACAGAGCCTGAGCCACAGGAATGCCCCCTAAACAGCTGATGATGAAGATTCCTTCACTTATCCAACAAATATTCACTGACCCTCAACTCTGTGCTGGGTGTTACTGCATCCAGGAGTTAGCAGCACTGACACCACCCGCTGCCTCGCTGGCTGGTGTCATGATGGCACAGGCCCACAGTCTAGCATTGGAGCCATGTGCCTTCCACTGCAGAAAGGTTCTGACTCCATTCTCAGTTCACGGTGGACTCCAGAGCCCTCAGTCCCTCTAAGTCTCCTCTGAGGCTGGCTAAGTCCTTGCAGACTTAAGAGGCCATATACTTAAGAGGCTCTCCCAGGCCTTTCTCATCACCCCACTGTGGTGAACACCATAAAAGACAGGATAGGCCTAAGCTTCACACTTGTCCTCCACCTCAGCCCCTCCCCCTTCACCACAACTGCTGCCCAAGAGAGCTTTCTGGAATCTTCTGCAAAGGCCCAGTTTGCTCAGCAGCATTACCCTCGACCTGCCACCAGAGGTCGCCCTCCCACACAAGCCCAAACAAACAGAACCCAGATTCGTCTTCTTGGCAAAGTGACATTATTTTCTTTCTCTATTTTTATCTATTAAAAAGATTTCTTCAGAGCCATAACTTAGATCCCTGCACTAAAATGGAGCAACAGGAAGATATAATGGTGCATTTCATTTATGAATGACCTATAATAAATTACTCTGAAGTGTCCCGAGTGCCAGGAGACAGAACGCTTTGTCTGCCCATGGACCGTATTTCACGTACTTTAATTTAGCTGACACATAAAACTCATTTGACATTTTGTAGGTATTTGTGTGGGGCTGGGGAGGAGAGCTGGTGAGCAGGAGGGGACCACTGCGGGGCAGGGCAGGGAGTGGGGGCAGCGAGCAGGGCCAAGGATATCTGGTTCTTGTTGAGGGTTAAGGTATGGAGCCTGGGTAACCCTGGCAACACGAGGTCGTTCCCCAGCAGATTGTTGTCCAAGACGAGCTCCTCCAGACTCCCGAAGGCGCTCAGTCCTTCCAGTGACCTGCAATGACAAAGGCAACAGGAAAAATGATCCTGCACTAAATCAGGGAGGCCATTATGAGCCGAAATAAATATTTTAACCTTCCCTTTCAGGACTGGGAATAGTTTGGGCTTGGTGCCTGTCAGCAAAGTGAATGACAAGAATTAGTAGCGGGAGCCGGGAGGGGGCGGCGGGGGAGAAGGGGCCGCTGGCACTCACGGCATCCTTCACGCGTTGCCAACATGAAGGATGAGGGTCACTTAGTGAGTAGCCAGGATCCAAAACAAAGGGCTTCAGATGCGGCCTGCAGGATAAATTTGTCAATGTCTTGTGCCTGCAGGCACCCAGCCTAGGCTGACCCTAACCTCCATTCCCAAGATAAATAACTCTGTCACAGTTCACCTTCATTCCCTGGACACAAATTTAAGTTGTCATCCATCATTCCTGCCCAGAAATATCATACCCGCTTACAATAATAAATATAACTTCAAGTATCATTTCTTAGCGGTTCTCCTCGGCACAGGGGTAGGAAACAGCAAGGAAGCCATCCTTTCTCTCCGCTCCCCGCCTGTGAATCCCCCCCCCCCCCCCCGCCTGCTTTTTTCCCTTCACTAATCACTTAATTTGCCTCTGCCCAGTGTTCCCGTGGCTGGCCCAGGGGCAGGGCACCGGATGGAGCAATAATCCCTCTGGTGTGAAGGGCTGCTGCTTTTTCTTTCTTTGATTTCTTCTCCTTTTTTCTTTTTGTTTGGGGGGGGGGGGGGGGCAGGAATAGGGAAGGAGCCCGGAGGATTTCTTTTTCAATGCTCCTAGCTTGAAGTTACCGTTCTACTTTATGAAAAGGGGATTTCTCACTTTATTTCTGAAAGAAGTGTGGAGTGCAGCAATGTGGATGTGAAGGAGGCAGTACATAAACAGGCATCTGAAAGAATTGAGTACCCAAAAGGAAAAACAGCCTGTGTATACACATAGCTAGAAGTTTCTCTGGAGGCGGGTTCTAGAGTGTTGGGGGCGGCCGTGGTGAGTAGTGGCCAGCCTCTGCAGGCCCTGGCGCTCACGGGCGTTAATTAAAGAAGCTACCAGGCAGGTGAGAGACACACACAGACACACACTCCCAGCTCGGTCACCTGCCAGACCTGAGAGCCGTGCTGAGCTTGCATGGCTGACAGCTGAGCCGCCATGTCAACCAGAGGGCGGACGCGCATGGGATCTCCTGGTAATTCTGTAAATTTGACGAATCAGGAGATGCTGTCTGCACTGTTTATTCATCTACTGGCAGCAGACACATCACAGACCAGCCTGCTGGTGTAAGCAACGCCTGTACTTCCGGTGTGGGTGCGAACTTCAGTGCAAGGGCCATCCCGAGCCATCCCCATCTCCCTGTGGATTTCTGCCCTGAGAACTCCCCGCGCTGAGGACTCCAAAGCAGTCAGTGCTTGGGAGGTGCAACATGCATTACAACGAGGTAATTAAATCCCCAGAATTCACTGGGCCCAGAGCTCCACCAGCAGATCCCATCTCTGCCTGACCCTCAGGGGGGTCCCACCCAGGACCCAGCACCCAGACCACGTGTCTTCTAGTCAAACACTACCTGATCCAAGCAGGAGGGAGGACAAGACCAAACACATTCTGGGTCAAGGGTCAGTGGGGTCATCCCACCTCATTTCTTCCTCCTCCTTTCTCATGGGCCTCACGTTTCGGGGAGAAAACACGACTTACACACCTGCGGTTAGGACAGTCTGGAATGTTACGCCAACTCCCTGTCTCCTCGCAGTGTGGTCTGGGCATGTCAATAGCCCACCTGAACGCCTTGTTCTGTGCTGGTTCCAGCTCATAGCATCCCATGGGGGATAAGTGAAAGAAGATTAACTAGTTACGTTTCTTTCTTTTCTCTTCCTCCTTTCTTGCACTGGTTTTGCTGGAAGCCCTGACTTTGGGCAGAGAGGTGGGGGGGAGGCTATTGAGGATGCAGATCAACCAATGCACAAAGGCATGCAGTGAGTCCTGCTTCTGCAGGGGCATTCTATGATTCCCGAAGTGCCTTGCTCCATGGGGTTAATGAGTGATGATCCCCAAGCGCTTTTCAGAGCGAGGCTGTTTACCAGGAGGGAAGCTGAGGCCGCCTCCCTCTTCCCTCCCTCCTGTGGGGGCGCCTTATGGAGGGCTAATAAGTCCTTTGTGCACAACATCGGTTGGGCTCTGGTCAGAGGCAGCATCCAAATGCGCATTGTTCCCGCGTTATGTTATGCAAATATAATGCTCATATCATGAGAATCCACAAACAGTTGGCAACTGGCAAGCAGAAGAAAGCTCCCTTCCAAAAGTGCTCCGGGGGAGGCATAAAACAAAATGACATCGCATGAAAGGGACAAAGCCGGGAACACTAGAGGGAGTGCCCACGGAGACCGCCTGCTCTCCGGGTGGCTGGGGGCAGAGCTCAAGACCAGCTTCGGGGTGAGGCTTCACCGAGGCGAGGTGCTAGAAGGTTGGGGCTCAAGCTCCCCGTGATCTGTCTGGTTTGGAGAGTCCCAATGTTATTAGCTGCTCAGTTAAAAGGGAACCATGTTGCTGCTTAAGAAACCCCGGTCTCCCCGCCATCCATGTGCTGTGATTTAATCGGCTGAGTTTGGAGCCGAGGGACTGGGGACAAGAGACAGAGCGTGGTGCAGGTAACCCTGGAGGGGCCAGGGCTTCCGGGCTCAGCTGGCCTGTGGAGGCCACTCAGCCAGCACCTGGAAGACGGGTTTATTTTTTACTTTTTGAAAATCTGACTTTTTTGTTGTTGTCTTCCAGAAGGGAGACATCAATTGCATCAATTATTGAGCTGATGTCCATATACACAGGATGCCTGCAAACAGATATGTGTCCGTCAGTAAAATGACAAGGCCACAGGGCTTCAAGGAGCCACAGAGCTACGCTGCTTCATGGGACAGTGGCAGGCTACAGGGAACAGATGGCAGGACTGCATTTCTCTGCTCTATCCCTGTGTGTGGACAGCAAAACGTACTATCCCAGACCCTGGTGGAAGGGGTGGCTGTCACTCCAGGGTTACTCACCAGCTTAGCTGGCAGTGGTTACTGATGTCTGAAGTGGGGGAGGAGGGCCTGGGAAGGAGAAGCAGATCTGTCTGCTCTAGCAAGGGGCAGGAGGGGGAGGGCAAGGCTTTAGCTGCTACCTGGGCACAGCCAGCTGGAGAGAAAGAGAGCTTCCCAGCCCAGCGAGGAGACGCCAAGGGCACAGGGAGACGTGCGGTCTGGCGTGGGTGGCAGGTGGTTTGCTCTAGAAACCTAATCAGCTGCGCAGAAGCGCCTCGCAGGCTGTGCGCCCCCCGCACCCCCAGCAGGAAAGCGGCCCATCGTCTCACCCACAGGTGCCACCTCCGCGGCCCAAGCGCAGGGCCCAGGCTGGGCTCCCCCAGGAGCCTCCACAGCTGCCAGAGGGTCCCGGAGCCTACTCCAAAGTCGTATCGAGATGACAAAACATCACAACGCATTCAGCTCCAGCGGATTCAAACAGAGAGAACTTTTAAGTTTCCACTGTAATTAACCCTATCCTCGTTAAGATAATTATGATCAAGCTTCCTGTCACAGTTAATATCCAGCATCATTGCCTGTGGCTCACACTCTGCCCTCATTAGCTTATGAAAACAGCGGCACTGAACAGGCGGCTGCCACCCTTTCCCGGAGAGGCCAGTGGCTGGGAGGGGCCTTGTGTGGGGCAGCAGGTCCCACAGAAGGGCCACCTCTTGAACTGTAATTCCTTCTGCTCCTGAGTGGGCCACACACACGGCAGTCTTCATCCTTTTCCCAAAAGTTAGCCACTGGGCGAAATGGGGAGGGAGGAGGCCCGCAGAGCATGGCTGGTCGCTTTGGGGCAGGGGAGCTGCTAAGATGGAGCTATTAGTCCTTCCTGCCCCTTACCTGGCAAAAATCCAGCCAGGAAAATCCCCAGAGGGCACCTCCAGAGCCCCCGGTTCAAGATCTGCCAACTTATTCCTGGGGTACAGGCTGTGGTAAGAATTAGATCCGTCTGTCCTTAGCTCCCAGCCTGTACCAGGAATGACACTTCCTTGCATGAGCTGGGCAGGGAAAAGGAGACAATTGACCAGACCCTGAGAAAGACACGTGTTCGCATAGCTGGCCTCAAATCCAGAAACCAGTTAAGAAAATAACATTTCCACTAAGATCTCCACCTGCTTCCTCCACAACATCTCCATAAGCATCCATAGGTGTGTTTTTATCAGAGGGAACGGGGAAGCCATGGAAATGGAGAAGGACCTAACCCCTTTGGATTCATATGTTTATCAACTTGTCTACATGAAACTGTGGTCGGATTATGCCCCTGAGGAACTGGTATATGGTTGCCTTCAGACAATGTAAATCATGCATCTGATCATGCTACCCTTTTTTACTTTTGCTTCCAGTAAACTCAGACCAAACTATGACCCAACTGTGAAAAGTTCTCTACATCTGCTTTTTAACTTCACTGTTGAGGCTTATAATTTTTATAGTCTTGATATTTCATTTATCTCTGGTTTTCTTTTATTAATTCTGATAAGCTTTAGCTCAAATCCTTTGTAGAATGTGTTAATACAGATATCAACTGAATATAGCACAGATTCTCAAACAGGCAATTTCTGTGCATTAAGGACAGGTTCTGTGGGACCAGTTATTAATGCAGACAGTTGACTAAAAATAAAGATGTATATTGTATCCAGAATTCAAAATGCCTTTGAAAATACTTCTAATGATATTCTTATGACAAGAGAGCAAAAAGTATGCTAGAAAATGACAAATTTAGGTAAGGTCGTAACTGGTTCAAACATATACATGAAGAATATTAATGAATGGCTCAGCTTGCTCTGGGGGAAGGTTCTGAGGACTTTGGTCCTAAATTTTGCCAATACCTTGGTATGGCCAAGTTGATCACATGTATGGAGGGCAGGACCCTAGAAAGATGCTCAGGAGGATACAGTAGATTAAAAATTATCCTGATGGAATCAACTCATTCTTTCAGCCCAA